GTGTGGGGGGGGGGGGGGGGGAGAGGGAGACATGGTGCAGAGCAGGCTTGATTTTCAGCCCTGCTGAGCACTCATCCCCAAATGAAGTCATGGAGAGCTGCGGGTGCTCAGCCCCTCTGTATAGGCCTACACGCCTGGAAGTAGAACTTTTTTTAAAGTGATGTGTTCTTTCAGGCCCAAAATGGCGTTCTTAGAACTGTGGGCAAGGGGAAAAGTAATGGAGAGACTTGGAAGACCCTTCTGGAGGGGAAGATATTATATTAAAATGAAGCAGAGAAACTGGACTCTTTAGGGTGCCAAAACCCAACATGACAGAGCCTGGTTTCAGAGGTGCCTGTTTGGATATGTAAGCAGGACCCTGGACAGGGCTACAGGCAAATGCAAATATACACAGGACTTTTCAGTGTACCACAAGAAATACCTGACTACTATTGTATCTGGGCTCAAATCCTCAGCCCATCATTATATAGGCAGATGGGTTGGACACTGGATAGTTCCACAAGAAGAAAAAACCTTCCCACCCAAGCCAAGAAGAAGCCATGGAGACATCCCATGGTGTTACTGCAGCCCTATCTCACCACCTCCTCAAGATAGGAGATGATGGTAGGAGGCTGACAATGCTCTAGCCATACCCCTACTGCTGTTCCATTTCTGCTCAACCCTCCTCAGTAGAGCCCCTACTTAGCAGAATTCCAGCCTATGGAGAGTCAGGAAATCCCATCATTGGAGGTTTTTAAGAACAAGTTAGACTAATGCCTGTCAGGAAGCACTGTCCAGGACTCGGTCCTGCCTCAGCACAGGAGGTTGTACTAGATGATGTCTTCAGGTCTCTTCCAGTCTAATTTTTCTGTGATGTAAATTGGTCTTTCCTATGGTATTTTCAGTATGCTTAACCATTAATACGTATTTTGTATAGATGTAAATGCATTTTAGAAGCTTGTAGTAAATGCTTAGAAATGACTTTATATACTTTGTGGTATGGATGGCTGCTCACTGTCCCTTAACTAGCCACATCCCCAGTACCTATTACAGCTTGAACCTCTCTAGTTTGGCACCTGATCAGCTCTGAACTAGAGAATTTGCCGGACCACAAGTCAATATGGTCTAGCAGCATTACCAACAATTCCACTGCTTACTGGACACTTAGAAGACATTTAGGGGTGAACTGGAGCTAAATAACAGCACAGAACACTGAGAGCCAGGACTGGTGGCTGAAAGCAAACTTAATGGGACTGTGGGAAACTTGAGCACACACGCAATAAGCGGACATCCAGCTAACTAAAATCATGCCAGACCACAGATATTGCTGGACCAGTGAGTCAGAAGTTCAACTTGTAGTCACATCTAAATCCAGATGAGTACACTCGTATCTTCAGCCTAAAGAGCATCAGGGGAGCGGGGGGGCGGGGAGGAAGCTTGATACCTGCTCATCTTCAGCAAGGCAATGTCTGCCCCACCAGGTTCCTTGAATATTCTCTCAACATCTCGCATTTGCACAGATGACTCCTCTGCCCTTTCCGTGTGCAGTCCAAGGAAGATTCTATATGCAGCAGGCCTGGTTGACCTATAAGAGATGATTGCCCATGGTGAGGATATATACCAGTGGTGGGCAACCTGTGGCTTGGTCATATCTGGCCCATTGGGGTTATCTGTGTGGCTCGTGGGACATTTTGTTTATCGTTGCCCATGCAACAGGGTTGCTGTTTTTTGGCCACGTAGTTTTTTTCCTCCCAGTATTACTAAAGTGACCTGCACATAAAGCAAGGGCTGCTGATTGCCTGCAACATTGTGAGAGCCGTGCGCTCCCTCTGCATCCAATCAAAGAGCTGCTGCAGTTCAATCAGCCCACACCACAAATTCTAGTTACGCTAGCACAGTTAGTAAAACTACCCTGGGACACTGAGATGAAAGAGGCCACTCATGTGGCCCACTCTCTAGTCTAGGTTGTCCCTCACTGTTCTTTACAGATACTCAGGCCTTGTAGTCCTTCTGAGTGGCAAGCAAGTCCCGGAGAGCTGTAGCTGATAGGGAGGTGGAACATCTTGATGGTTTTTGCAAAAAGCTAAGCTTTAGGGTTTTTAAGAAATATTTAGCTCTTATGTTTATGAAGAAATCCACATCTGTAAAGTGATGTAATGTTTTTTTTCTGAATTTGCAGTCATATAGCTCCCGTGGCGCTGCTGCTGCTGAGACCCTTCCCAAGTAGCAACAGTAGACATGTGATCAATTTCACCACGTCTACTCAAAATCCTATTAGGAGAAAGTGCATAGAGGGTACAGTCAAAATGACAATGTTTGATCAAGATACAAGTAGCAAAGGCAGGTGATTTTTACCAGGGAGGAGGAGCCAAAACAAGGTATAGACATGTGCCCCTCTGCCACCAGAGTTGCAAGGGTTGAAGAGTGTTGACACTAAGGCTACGTCTACACTGGCATGATTTTCCAGAAATGCTTTTAACGGAAAAGTTTTACGTTAAAAGCATTTTCGGAAAAGCACGTCTAGATTGGCAGAACGCTTTTCCGGAAAAGCACTTTTTCCGGAAAAGAGTCCGTGGCCAATCTAGATGTGCTTTTCCACAAAAAAGCCCCGATTGTCATTTTTGCGATCAGGGCTTTTTTTGCGGAAAACACTACTGTGCTGTCTACACTGGCTGTTTTCTGGAACAGTTTTTTGGAAAAAGACTTTTGCCTGAATGGGAGCAGCATAGTTTTTCCAGAAAAGCACTGATGATTTTACATTAGATCGTCAGTGCTTTTCCGGAAATACAAGCGGCCAGTGTGGACAGCTGGCAAGTTTTTCCGGAAAAGCGGCTGATTTTCCGGAATAACTTGCCAGTGTAGATACAGCCTAACTGTCTCTATGCCGAGTGGTAGAAATCCCATCTGTCTTTGCAGCACACAGAAAAGTGGGGCGCACAGAATGGTGCCACAATTTAGAATGAGGTACCAGGAATGAGATGGTGGAGCAGGAGGAGAAACGCTGGGAAAATGTATTTTTTTCTATCTGCAACCAGAGGAAGGTAGACATGAGAGGGGTTGACAGGTGAACAGATTATACAGTGATGGGCATGGTGTTCAAGAGCCTAGGTAAACAAGGGAGCTTCCCTTTTTTCAGGCATTGACCTACCAGACACTGATAGAAGGACAGATTCCTTAAGGAAGTGCAGGAGCTAGCAGCATGGTATGAATCATAGCATCCTTCATTTTAGCTGAAGCTAGAGTGGTGGGAGTGGGAAGGGGTGGGCTTCTCAACAGAGTGTTTTCACTGTTATTCCCACCAAATCTTTCATATTTAACTAAAGCTAGTAGGTCAGTGGGTTTAAACTTCCTGGTTTAAACTTGAGGAAAAGGGGGATTCTCTGTAACTTGAAATCTTTAAGCTATGATTTAAGGACTTCAGTAAGTCAACCAGAGGTTAAGGGTCTATTACAGGAGAAGATAGGTAAGATTCTGTGGCCTGTGGTGTTCAGGAAACTATATTAGATAACTATTATGCTCTTTTCTGGCCTTTAGGTTTATGAGTCTATGTAGTTACATTTTTAGCCATTTCTGCGTATCAGAATCAGGAAAACAAAGTATGTTCTGGTCTCACCTGGGATTTTCATCTATAAATGTCATTTACATGGCAGTTTGAATGCAATAGTAAAACTGTAAATACTGCAACTCTCATAGCTACAACAACCACGATGTCAGATGACTAGATACTACATTTTGGATGCAGAGTTTGTTCATTAAGGTATCTTCAGGCATCCCACTCACATTTATTATGACATGAAACTTTATTTTCAGTAATCCGTGTGTTAGCTTCACGTAGCTGGGTGATTCCTCAAGACAGTAATTTCCTTTCTTGTATCTAGCAAAATCAAGATGGAGTCCGATGGCACTTTAAGACTAACAATTTTATTATGGTATAAGCTTTCATGAGTTGCAATTCACTTTGTCAGATGCACAAAGTGAAAGAAAAAGAAATAGCCGGTAGGGATAGAGATGAGAGTGTTACATCAGCAGTATCCCCACTATTCGTTTCTTTTTCTTTCACTTCATGCATCTGACAAAGTGAACTGCAACTCACAATAGTTCATGCCAACTTCCGCCTGTAGTGTAGACTAGGCCTTAGAGCCATCTTATAAAGGTGCAGCACTGTCTGGTTCAGAGAGATCAAAGAAACACCTTACTAGGCACATTTTGTTTTTCCTTGACATTCCTATCCAGTTGTAGGAAACACCGAATGAGACACTTACCGCTCTAAGCAGTGTTTGGCTGTAAGAACCCACTGTGGGGCTATCAGAGTGCCACCACAAAAGTGCATGTTGAAACTGGAATAAAGAAGAAAGGCATGAAATTAGCTTGAGAATGTGAAGTTAATTCTTCCCTATAACAGCAGTGCACAATGGGGACTATTAGTAAATTATCAACTTCTCTTAGTCAGGAGCTTTTAGGATTCTACAAGTCATAAGAAAGCAATTACTGATTTTCATTAGAAGCTGAGTTTTGTTGGCTCACAATATGAGAAAAACAAAGCTAGTTGAGACATATCTTGAATTTTGAAAGATTGTCTCAATTTCAAGAGGGGAGTCTGTGTTCAGAAGTGTAAGCAACATTATGACATATCTTAACCATTTAGTTTGTGGTGATCTACTGGACAAACTGCAGATTGCAGACTTGCATAGCTGTGAGTAGCTGACTTACTTGGGATATTGCAGTAGATATGCATACATCATTGATGCTGAGGTATACAATTTTCATGGTCTTGAGGACAATATTTTTTATGGTGACCAGCAAATTTCTGTGGGCATTTGCATCAGGCCTTTTCATAGCCCTACTAAATTTCTATAACCAATCACAACACTACGACACTGAGAATATTGGGCTATCTTTAGAGTTTATGGCTTTGATACAGCTCTGATCAAATCAACAGGAGAATTTCCAATTACTTCAATAGAAACAGGATTGGATCCTGTTTAAGCAGAGATGATAGAGAACCATCTGTACAAATTTTAAATTGCTGGCTCAACCTGTGGGTCTAAATTCCGATGTCAGGATAGAAATAAATCACATTGGCTTCAATGGGAATTATTTGTTTCCCATGTCAATAAAATGTAAGTGCAGATTGGACTAGTGCTTCAAATCTGCCCTATGTAATTGTTTAGGACCAATGGGAGGGGTTCTATTTATCTAAATTACATTCACTAGCTTGGGACAATATTGTCAAGGGGGAAAAAAAGGTTATGCAACATATTTCATTGAAAAGATTTCTTTTAGAGGCATTTCAGTTTGGAGGCATTTTTAGGGAGAGATCAAGACTACTCTCCAAAAGAATTCAGATCCACATGCACAAACATGAAGAGTTAAGTTCTTTCTGTAAAATTGTTCCTAAAGTGCTCCAGGAAGTGAGGTGCTTTGTAATTTGTAATGGAATGTGGGATAGTTTTACCTTGTCCTGAGACTGATTTGCCACGGCCAAGAGTGTGGATTTGAAATGCACCCGCCCACAATCCTTGTAGGGCACAGTTTTGGAGCAGTCTTGGCTTTTCCACACTCATATTCAGGGGGAGCTAAAGAATGAAATGAAGTCAACCTGAAGAATTTTAAGGCAGCTATTATACCATTCACAATGCAGTTATAGTAACTGGGAGAAGAAGGTTATCCTTGTCTGTTCTCTAGCTTATCACTCATTATGCAGCAATTACACAGCAAAAACTGAATAAACATTGTTAGGTTATTCTTACCCAGAACACTTGATAAGGACTGTAACCAAAATATTGCTTTCAAGATGACAACATATTGATTTACATGGCAAAAAGTTTACAGATGTATCATTTGGATATCAGTCAGAAACAAAATGGGTCTAACTCTGCAATGAGGGGGAAGAACAAAAGACAAAAAAGAAAACACATTGCCCAAATTGCCTCAGAAAGTATCCTTACATCTCTGACTGAGTATAGGAACCCTAATAGCCATATCCTCAGACCACAATTAAATTAATCTGTAGCAATAGAAAATGGACTTCAGTCAATCTGTGGTTACACAGAAAGAGGGTCTTTTTTCAAATCTTGCCCCAGGCTCATTTTATGTTCTTGTGGCCTAAAACCTTCCTGCCTTCTTTTCACAGGGGATTATTTCTGAGTGGAAAACTGTCTGTTTGTGCTTGTACAGTGCTTAACACAGTGAGCCTTGGCCTCTAGATACTGCTGTAGTACCACAACACATAATAATTAATTAACTGGCAGGCCATTCAGCTCCTGGCCACAGGCTGTATTTTCAAGCCCTTTTGTGCACACATTAGGTACAATATAAGCACATATTTGCATATACATTATTTTAATATTGAAAAAGGTTTGGCTATGTTTAAGGAGACATCTGTCAGAACCATCTTTCATTAGTTACTCTTTCAAATTAGTTTGAATCATAGAACACTAGAACTGGAAGGGACCTCGAGAGATCATCAAGTCTAGTCCCCTGCCCTCATGGCAGGACTAAGCACGTTCTGTATCATCCCTGATACATGTTGGTCTAACTTGCTCTTAAATATCTCCACTGATGGAGATTCTACAACCTCTCTAGGCAATTTATTCCAGTGTTTAACCACCTTGACAGTTAGGAACTTTTTCCTAATATTCAACCTAAACCTCCCTTCCTGCAGTTTAAGCCCATTGCTTCTTGTCCTATCATCAGAGAACAAAGAGAACAATTTACCCTCCTCCTCCCTGTGACAACTTTTTAGATACCTGAAAACCACTATCATGTCCCCCCCCCCCCCCCCCCTCTTCAACAAGCCCAATTCCTTCAGTAGTTTGTAAAAAGTCTCTGGTCTGTGTAAAATTTACCATTACGTGTAAAGTCTACTGCACATATTTTTCTGAACTTTCAAAATCCTTTTCCAGGGAGCTAAAAAGTTGGAGCTACCTCTTGACTTCCAAGTGCAGTCAGAACTCCTATTTAATTCAATGAGTTCCAGGGTTTTGATTTGCACATATTGTCTTGGATATGACTTATTAACCCTTGCAAAACAAAGAAATGCAATCTTTAGAAAGTATATAGTGGGGATAGTCTCATTTCAGTTCACAGTTGTGGTTATTCATTTGTATTATCTACCGGGCATTACCTCATTGTGCTAGGCACTATGCACACACAATACCACCCACTATCCCAAATAGCTTACAGGATCAGTGTAAGGAAAAAATAAGAGGCAGATAAAACAAACATATGGGAGTGGAGAGCACAAGGTAAGAGGATTATAATCAATGTGGCAAGCAGCAGCCACGGCCCACCAGCTGCCTGCATTTTGTCCACTATACTATATGCATGCATGCAGATCCTGTTCATATGTCACAGAAGTTAAACTATGAGTCTTGTTTTTTAAACTCAGTAAAAAGTTTAAAACATGCATCCTTCAGTGCTTTCCCTTTCTTGACCTCCAGATGCCTTTCCTTTTAAGTCGATAAATTAAGGGGCTTTGTTCTTAAATATTATGGGTCAGATTCACTCCCCACCTCCCAGAAAGGGCATTATACCAGGGAAGGGGACTATACCCCCCAGCAGAGGATCCTAGGGAGATGCACTAAATAAGAATATCTCTAGGTCAGCATGGCTGAGCCTTCTCCCGCATCTTACCCAACTTGCTTGTGCCAGCTGATAGAACAGTGGTGGGGGCAGCCAGCAGATTTAGGGCCTCATCCACAACCCACTGCAACTAGTGGGAAGGCTCCCATTCAACTTAGTGGGCTTTGAAGGAACAATCAGTTGCACACGTACAAAATGAGAAATGGCTGCCTAAGAAGAAATACTGCAGTACACTATTTGGGCGCCATAGTGGATCACAAGATAAATATGAGACAACAGTGTGACACTATTGCAAAAAAGCAAACATCAGGCTCATACTCTGACCTGAGATTTAGTTACAACAGTGAATAAGAACCTGGGTTTAGAGTATGGCCAAGAGGTTTGAGTGTGACTAGTGACTGGGGGCTGTGATGGGGTGTACCAAACCCACACTAGACTAGCAAGGGTTAACCAGGATTCCCTAGCTGAGAGAGCTCCACCCCCTACAGCCCTACTGGGCATACTCTGGCTGGAGGACAGATATAAAGGTCAATGGAGCAGCTCATGCTGGACAAACGGCTGCTAAGGAAGGAGATGCTGCCAGAATGCTGGAGGAAGAGCTGTGGCTGGACTGAACTGTGGAGGCCAATCAGTGAGGAATCGGTGGAGAAGCCCCAAGTCTGGAGAGAAGTGCTGAAGCAGGTGTCTGCTACAAATCAGGTAGGCAGTAGCTCAGGATGGGGAGTTAATTCCCTCAGAACTCAGAGTGTTTTGGGTGGATCCCCAGCTGACCTAGAGGTGGGACACACCCATCACTGATGGCACCTTGGGCGGTGATCTTGTGGAGAGGGTGGGCCTGGGGCCTCTATCCCACTCCCATTAACCCCAAGGGGATGCTACAAGTGTTGCTACTGACTGGCTGCTAGGCCTCACTGCCCTGAGGGAAGGGAGTGTTACTTAGAACTCTGGCCACTGGGCCTCACTACCATCCAAGAAGGGGGTGTTTTATTGATGGTGGATGTGAGGCCAGACTGTCTCAGTGGAGGTGGGTTGTAGCGTAGGCCCTGATCCACGGGGACTGAGATGCACATGGGTTGGCACACTCTTTGAGAGGCTTTAAAAACCCACAGCCCTGTCTCCAAGGGCGCTCTTCAGATTTTTGGATTACCATCTGTAGCAATGCCAAACAGCATCTTCTGTAGCAATCAGACAGTTTTGTAGAGATCAAACACCACCCTTTAGCTGATTGTTACCAACAGATGCTGTTGTCAATTACATGGAGCTATAATTTGAATTGAAAATTAAAATTACCCCTCACAAATGTCATAAAACATTTTCAAGCAGGTAAATGGGGGAGACAAGACTCTTTAAAGAATAATTACGGCACTCAGAGATTTCACAGTAGTCCCAGGCTTTCCTCGGGTCTGTTGTGTAGCACCAGGGACCATTAACATCACCATCAGGATTCCTGCAATACTGTAATAAATAAGTGAATAAACAAACAGTGAAGCCCTGAACAATAATAAGGGTATGAAGAAGTTTATTGCTTTATGCTTTTATAACAGGAGCTGGCAAGATACGGCCTGTGGGCTGCATCCAGCCCACCAAGCCTTTTAATCTGGGCTGCAGCACGCCCCTGTGACAGATGGCTGCTCTCTGCACTGTGGGAAGAGGGAGAAGCTTTGCATGCTGCTCCACCCCCAAGCAAAACCTCTCAGCTTCTACTGGCTGGAAACTAGCCAATGGGAGCTGAGAAATTTTGCTGAGCTGGGAGCAGCATGCAAAACCTCCCCTTGAAGTGCAGAGAGCCACATGAGCAGAACAGTCTGGGCTGCTGACATGCTGCTGGACAGGAGCTGCTTAGATAAGCCCCTCCCGGCCAGCTCCTGCCTCTTTCACCCAACCCCACCCAGACACTGCATTCCTTCGTACACCTCTCACCCAGGTCAGAATCCTCTCTTGCACCCATAGAACCTCTTGGACTCTGCACCCCCAATCCCCTGTCCCAGGTGACAAACCCCTGCATCACCTAAACTCCCTCGGCCTCTGCACTTCAGTCCTTTACCCCAAGCTCCCTTTTGCACCCAACCTCTGTCCCAGACTCTGCTCCCTCTCCATAGAGAAGTGTGGCACTTGACTACTTTCCAAAATCTTGGAATGGCCCCTCATCAAAAATTATTTTGTTCCTGTTTTATAATATAAAGACAAATATTGGACTTTTTTCTCCAGACACTTTGGCTATGTCTACACAGCTTCCCTCTTCTGCAAAAGCCTATGCAAATGAAGTGCAGATTAGCATATTGCCACGCTTCATTTGCATAATTAATTAGGAGCCATTTTTGTGCAAGAGGTTTTTGCTCAAAAAGGCGCCATCTACACAGTGCCATTTTGCACAAAAAAACCCTCTTGTGCAAGAGCCGTTCTTCCTCATTTTTTCAGGAAGTTGCGGAAGAGGGGGTTTTTGCGCAAAAGGACTCTGTGTAGACTGCGCCTTTTTGTACAAAAACAGCTCCTAATTAATTATCCAAAATGAAACACAGCAATATGCTAATCTGTGCTTCATTTGCATAGGCTTTTGTGGAAGAGGGAAGCTGTGTAGGCATAGTCTTTCACTGTTTTGTCAATACGTAATTTTCAATGCTATAAAATCCTTTATTTTCTTTTTCTCAAAACTGCTGATGATTTTAGTGAAATGTCATGAAAATAAAACGGACCCAACTTTCTTCAGCCAGGCAGGGGATAATTGGTCCTCCATTGTGAACTTTGTTTCAGTGTGCTGAGTGGCCGTGAGTTGTGAAAAATCATCACACCATGTTGTATCTAATTATGGGCAGCCCCAAATGTGCAGAGCGCAGTGAGCTGGCCCCAGCTGCAGGAACTCTTTGGCTGGAATCTCTCAAACAGCTTCTTCCCAGACACCAACATTCTAACTCTGTACCCCACCAGTCCAGCAATTACTTAGGCACTTCCTAATCCCCACATCAGTACTGCTGCCATCCAGCCCCTTATCTGCCCCAATAAATGATGAACCTCCTCCTCTTCCCCCTTGTCTCTCAGAGCACCTTTGCTCCTCCTGCAGCTCCACAGATTTTTCATTCCCCCTTCCCATAGCAGGTGTCAGAGTGCAGAGGGGAGGGGATAGGAAGAGGGCAGATGGACTCATTGATTTCAGGAGAGGAGGAGGGAGCAGAGAGAGCCTGAGCTCTGCTGGGCTTTTTCTGCTCCCTCCACCTGAGACTGGTGTCGTCTGCACTGTTTGCCCCCTTGTTTTACCCCCAAACTCTCCTCCACTCCAGAAACATGGCAGAGTGGAAAGAACGACTGCTCCATGGCAGGAAGTATCATAACCAACGCTTACATTTTTCTCCAGCCCTGCCCGTGGATGAGTCACTGGCGTGAAAGAATCATGGCTGTGTGGTTTCTGCGAACTCCATGCTTGACAAGTCTTGCCACTTGCAGTGTGTGCCACTGTGCCACGATAATCTTTACCATTACCAACTACACAATCTGCAACAGGGAGAAAGAACATGCAGGTGATTCTTTGCTATGTATCTCTGGGCCAAATTCAAAGGTGATGTACTCTTGGTATTTGCATGCCCTGTGGTGTAGAATAGAAATTAGTGGGATGATATAAAATAGTGTAGGGTAGTATATTGCTGGAAATGGGGAAAATACTCATAGGCTACGTCTACACTGCACGCTTTTTGCACAAGAAGCTTTTTGCACAAACTTCTTGCACAAAAGCGCATCCACACCTCAAAAGCGCATCGCAAAAGCGATGTGTTTTTGTGCCAGAGAGCGTCCACACAGCATGGATACTCTTGCGCAAGAAAGTTCTGATGGCCATTCACAGAATGGCCATCAGAGCACCTGTGCTTTTTCTGCTGATTTTCTGGCACCTTTTTGCGCAAGAAACCCCTGTTGAGCCTCCACACACACCTTTTTGCACAAGAACTCTCGCACAAAAAGAGTTATTCCTTGTAGAAAGAGATATACCTACGCTGCAAAAACCCTCTGTTCTGCTGTTTTACTGTAAATTTTTTTGTGCAAAAATGCACTTGAGGTGTGGATGCTCCGTAGGTTTTTGCGCAAAAACAGCTTGTTTTGTGCAAAACCCCTGTAATGTAGACATAGCCATTATGAAATACTCATAATGAAAATGTTTAAAAAATGAATAGTTCTGCAGCACTTCAGAGACTAACAAAAAATGTAAATGGTATCATGAGCTTTGGTGAACACAACCCACTTCTTTCAAGTTCCTTGCTTGCTTGGTGTCACCAGGGCGCTTTCACCAGTACAGCAGGTTTCAGAGTTAACAGGGCAGTTCACATTTCTAAGTTACGTTTCAGGCTCTCTGAAAACTTATGCAGACATCATGCATTACTTGCACTGGGGTGCATCTAAAAACTCTTCCTGGTAGCCCTGAGTGTTAGAATATTTTTTTTATAAGGAAGGTTACATACAGATGCCCTCTCATGACTATAGGAGACACGGCCTCAGGCATATGTATAAAGCACTGATGTGTAATTGCTTGATGCTACAAGTTGTTAAGCTTTGGATTCAATTGGACTGCTCACATGCTTAAAATGAAGCATGTACTCAAGCATTTTGATGGTTGCAAGTCATTTGATATATCATAGGACATTTACATTAGGATTACCTTTTTGGGTAGGTGCAGTTGTATGAAGGGTCGATGCTATAGTTGTCTGAGGGGGCTTTGGTAAAGTCACTAGTGAGCCGCCACACCGCCTCAGACTGCAGTATTCCCATCTCACAGTAGGATCAATGGTGTAACACCATGGGGCTGGATCATCATCTGGGTTCCTGCAATAGTTCTCCCTCAAGTCCCTGAAAATATAAATACCGTGTGTTCTTTCAGGACCATAGCATGAATAAGTTCATGGGAGCCCCCTACAAAACAGGTAGGCAGAATACACTAAGCCTGTGTCTACACTGGGCCACTTATTCCGGAAAATCAGCCGCTTTTCCGGAATAAGCTGCGAGCTGTCTACACTGGCCCTTGAATTTCCGGAAAAGCAACTTCCGGAAAAACTATTCTGCTCCCGCTCGGGCATAAGTCCTTATTCCGGAACACTGTTCCGGAAAAGGGCCGGTGTAGACAGCCCAGTAGTCTTTTCTGGAAAAAAGCCCCGATCATGAAAATGGCGATCGGGGCTCTTTTCCGGAAAAGCACGTCTACATTGGCCACAGACGCTTTTCCAGAAAAAGGGCTTTTCCGGAAAAGCAGCCTGCCAATGTAGACGCTCCTTTTCCAGAATAGTATTCCGTTTTAAGCAGTTCTGGAAATTCATGCCAGTGTAGACACAGCCTATGACAGTATGGCTGCGTCTAGACTGGCAAGTTTTTCCGCAAAAGCGTTCGCTTTTGCGCAAATTGCCAGCTGTCTACACTGGCCGCTTGATTTTGTGCAGAAGCACTGTCATTCTACTGTCTGAAATCAGTGCTTCTTGCACAAATGCTTTGACATTCCCGAAAAAGCCCTTTTCCGGAAATGTTTTTGCACAACAGGGCCAGTGTAGACAGCTAAAAACTGTTTTGTGCAAAAAAGCCCCGATGGCGAAAATGGCAATCGCGGCTTTCTTGTGCAAAACTGCGTCTAGATTGGCACAGACGCTTTTCCGCAAAAAGTGCTTTTGCGGAAAAGCGTCCGTGCCAATCTAGATGCTTTTTTCCGCAAATGCTTTTAACGGAAAAACTTTTCTGTTAAAAGCATTTGCGGAAAATCATGCCAGTCTAGACGTAGCCTATAGGTTTAACATGTATAGCAGAATTTCTGTTGCCATCGTGTGAAAAGAAAATCTCTTTTCTAGATATCGTATCAGCAGAAGGCTGACATTCATATTGATAATATGTAGCTGGTAACATGATCCTTTTTTATACACGAAGAAATATAAAACAACATTTACAGAATTGTAGCCAAAAGCTTTACCAATATCATGATTTGTTGAGTAATGACTGGTGTCATAAGAGGGCAATTAGCAATTATGTATTAGTAAATATTCAAACAGATCCAGAACTTTTGCTGGCATGGGGAGGTACTTTTAGAAATCAAAACAATTAAGCAAAGAGCTAAAATAGCAACAACTTAATCTGATTTTAAAATTCTCTCTCTCAAGGCACTTTTTGTAAAACTGGGAAGGAAATTTGTTTGCAGGATGAATTTTTAACTTGACAGTGTCCCTCTAAGCAAATGACAGTTTCTGGAGAATGCCAACATTGATTTGTGTCAGTGGTCAAAGTAAACATACGCCTTTGGATATGCTTCTGGGGTCCTCGTGTGTTTGTGCGGCGACATTGATTTCCATGGCTGGCATTTCTTTCCTGAGACAGTCAATGAAGTTGTGCCACGGTAACTCTGGCCATTGCCTCGGAAACAATCTTCAGTGACTGGACTCTGTTGAAGCACAATTGTATCTGTAATGAACAATAAAAAGCAGTACTTTAAAAGTGACTTTTACTTTGATATGTGAGCACAGAAAAACACAAACAAAAACAATCCACAAACAAGTCAGAAGGATTAGCCTGCTTGTCAGACCTTTTTATGACAAGGTCTCAATCATCAAGGGGCATTTCTGATGTCTGGAAGGTTTTAATAGGGTTACTTTCATGAGCCAGATGCTGTTGTTTAGATGCAATCTTAATTCCAATTTTGAGTTTATGGGCATGATGGATTAGAGAATCACAAAGTTCAGAATGGGGATCTAAAGTTCCCCAAAGTTTGGGGATGCCTGTGGTTTTGTATCAGACATATTTCTAGTGTTTGAATTGAGAGGGAGCTTGGGGTGCTTAGTTCAGGTATGTCAACAAGTGAAAGTGTTGGGCTGGATTTTTCAGGTATTGGAGATGGAGGCTGATTTCTCAAATACTGCAGATTCTCTTGATTTGTTATTTATGGATACCAATCTGGTGTATGTAAACATGCTTGATTGCACTAAGCAATTTAGTTAACTGGGATCCTTCTGTATATGAATCATTTGTAGGTCCAAATATCTTCTCAGCAAAAAACTGAGTTTTATCAAAAACAATGTTTTTCACAGGGCAATGTCATTTTAATTATTTTTTTATTGCAATGAGGGGGAAATTTTCATTTCAGTTTTCTAAATGGGAATATTTATTGAATTTTTGATTACTGTGTTTTTCTGCTTTGTCTCCATTTTTTTTCTTTCCCTGCCACAAAATGCAATAGAATAGAAAGCTTTCTAGGACTTTGTTTTTTCTTTTTTCCTACCGTTTCCCACACTTTTAAAAAAACCTTCTCTGATCTTAAGAAAGATAGGAAGTTCAAAAGGAACAATGAAACTAAGCCCACTGCTTGGGAATGTTTCCAAAGCTGAAGCAGTCAGCAGAACAATGATATAAAATCTTTCTTCTTCACACTGCACTTTCCCACCAGACTCAAATTTCATCCTCATAAGGTTCAACCTTCCACTAAATGTTCAGATGTGGTTTGCAGAGTGAGCAGTTCACCACATTAATATTATGAATAAACAATTATTTCTTTGATTGCCTCCCACTATTCCTTCAACTTCTAGATCACAGGTGCATTCACTCTTCTTACCAGTGTTTACTGTTTCTGTCTCATCACAGCTGGGTATGCTACAGTATTCCCATCGCATTGTGCTGTTGGTGGTGTAACACCATGGCTTGGTCTCACCATCAGGGTTTCTACAGTAGTTTTCTTCTAAACCCCTGAAGCAAAAGTACAATGTGAAAATTAGCTTCTTGTGGAAATCTGATAACAGTCACAAACAAGGGGTGGGGAATGTTACCACACCAGTTTCCTATTGTATTTATTGTTCACTCATTACTACAGTAAAAGTTGTTCAGTAATTACATTTAGTCATAACAGAGACAAGTTACTACAATGCATTATTATTATGAGCCTGATCAGCCTTTTAGGAAAGAGGTCTATAGGCTAAGAGTATTAGCACCAGAAAAGCTGCTTATGTAACCCCAGGTGAATATTACAGATTCCCTTCTATGTTGATCCACTGAGGGCATGAGCTGTTACATAAATCCTTGACTTAAGCTCATGCTTTTTGATCTGGAGGACACTGGTATGCTGGCCAAGATAACAGACATCACATTAAACTGAAGACCTAAAGCATGAGCTGCTATAAACCTATAACTGTAACAACTTCTATCCTCTGCACAGAGGAGAACCTTTAACATGGATTCACCAATCCTTCACTTGTGATAAGACCCCAGAAGAGGAATGCAGGGAAAGCACCTTGTGGAATAGTATGAACACTGGGAAAAATAACTTCTAACATTCTTATTGTACATGGAAGCACCTGGGTATGGAACACAGTAAAGAATAGATGTGAGTGGGGAAAGGAAGAACAGGAAGCGCATGCATGTGAGAGAAGATGATGCAAGTACATGACAATTAAAGATGAAGAGGCAGAACACAGGAAAAATCAGAGCAGGCGCAAGCAAAGGACTAAAGGAGAAATAATAATATGGAGAATTTAGTAATACAGTTGGAGAAAAATTGTGCCAACCTTAATATTATGTCTACATCATCATGATATAATTGTATTCCTTGGTACTTCCAGTAGGCAGCAAATGAAGAGTTTTAACATACTTGCAAGGATAGTTCTCAGGAGTCCTGGCATGCTTGTGAGGAAACTGAACACTCCAACGTTGACAAGTATTTCCTGACACAGTGACGCCTATCTTGCCTCGATAATCCTCTCCTTTTCCTGAAAGACACTGCTGTCCTGGGCCAGAAGGTGGTGGAGGTGTAGCTATACCAGAAGAGGAAATGAATATAAACAGTGCCTTCAAGATATGTAAGCTTAACTTTAAATAATGTCGAACATGGTGAAGTTTCCAGAAAACTGTGACAAGACATAAGCCAAAGCACAGAGAAAACATCCTCTCTGATGTTTGTTTCTTAATGCACTACAGAGGCAATTTCCCTGCCTTTGATATTTGCATTTCCACATAAAATGCTGTGAATGAGACACATGCACCCTTATTTAATTAGCTTCATTAATACCGGTCCTACAATTGTCAGGTAACTACTTTTGCTCTTATATAAACCCTGGATTCTGTGACTTCCATTCCAACTCATCTGACAAAGTGGGTAAAACCCACAACCTAATACATTTGTTAGTCTCTACTGCTCCTTGTTTTTAACACAACTACCCCTCTGAGTCTCTTAAGTTGCCTTAAAGTTTTCAAAAGGAATCAAACTTTCCAAAAAAGTGTATTCTATTCTATGCCTAACCCTCAGAAACCTCTGGAGGCAATGTGACTGTTTAACCATCCATTCCTTCCATCGCCCTAGTTGTCTCATCACAAAGGACATGAGAAAAGTGAGGTGAGGGAGAAAGGTTAAGTGAGTCTGAAAGGTAGGAGGGAAGGGCAGAGATCGTCAGGACAGGAGGTAGTAAGGATGAGGCCCTATGAAATGTCACAGCAAGGAATGGGGCTTTGGAATTAAAACACAAATCTGGAGGGGGAAGATCTAATAGCAAGCAATAGTCTTAGAAAAAGGAGCCTGAGGTTGTCTGGCAGCAGCAGGAGAGTGCTAAAAGGAAGATGGTTGGAACTACTTGAGTATCTATACAGTAAGCATTGAGAGGGGTAGGTGTCTATTAGCCACCACCCAAAAGTATACCAAGGAGAACCAGCGCACTGGGTACTTTCAGGACTGCTGACAGGAGTGGAGTGAAGGGGGCAATTGCCTAGGGGCTGGGGCAATTGCCTAGGGGCCCCGGCAATTTAAAAAGGTCCAGGGGCCCAGCCATTGCAGCTGTAGCTCTGCCTGCTCTGAAGAAAGCAAAAGTGTCTTTTGATTCCAAGATGCTTTTGATGTGCTCCATGCAGATTCCAGGGTTGGGTTGCTAGGTTCCACAACCTGCATAGGGCCTATCAGAAGCATCTTTGAATGAAGAGACATTGTGTGGCTTTTCCCCAGCAGCCAGCTTGAGTCCGGGGAAGGAAGCCACTGTGCTACTGCCCTGGGGCTCCTCCAAGTAGGTAGGAGATGGGGATGGGCCAGCCCAGGGCTCTTCTGGCGGGGGCAGTGGGAGTTTGGTGATTCTCTGGGTGGGAGAGGGCTAGTAGCCCCTGGCCAAGGGAGTGGGATAGGGAGCCTGGCCCATTGATTTCTGCCTCGGGCTAGAAATGCTATCCGTGGACCTGGGTACTTAAAGCAGGAAGGGGTTACCATTGGTTTGTGTGTCTACATGTACGTCTGTTTTGTTTACTTTAAGATGAAGATGAACATAATTTCCTAATGGGAGAATAAGATTCTAAAAGGTCCGCATGTTCTATAAAACTCCTTCAAGGTCTAAACTCAGTACTGGGGCTCTTCTAGTTTCTCAACCCATTTCTTAACGTTAGAGAAACCTACCAAATATTCACCTTCTGTCAACAGAGGCATTTTAATTGATCTTTATCCAGGAAATAAGTGCAGTGAGCAATGCAAATACTTCAGAAGAGTAGGATTGGCGATATAAACATAAGCCTGTTCCTCAATGTGTAATTCTGGACTAACCAGGGTATTGTGGTGCACCATATTTATTGTCTTTGTGATTTGTGTGTCAAGAATGCCTAGTTCAATGGCTTTTTTGACACTACTACCTCTGAGCTCAGTGGTCTTGCCTTCACTAGGAAAAAGGTGTTTTCTTAATTTGGATTAGCTATCACAGGATAAAATCCCGGTGATGAAAACATAGTTTGTAGTTTTCACATGAGTTAACAGACCAACATAAATCTTAGGTTTCCCCACATTTTCCTTGACCTGAAAACTCTTATGAAAATTACAAACTTCCTTAACTTGACAAGGATTTTACCTCCTTTTGGTTCAAGCATCTATCTGTTGCAACTGCCTGCAATGATCGCTACGGCCAGTCAACAGTGGCAGAGAAGTTGTGGAAGCTATGCAATTCCTGCTACAACAATTGTGTAGTTGGAACCAGTGTACATCCTTCATCCCGCCCCCCCCCCCGGGTGGCCTCTCAGCAGGAGGTCGATGGGAGAAACATTCCCATTGGCTTCCCTTAGTCCTTGCAACTATGAGAAGTACCACAGCTGACAGGAGCACTGTCAGTGTTCGATTTAGTGGGTCTTTACTGGACCTGCTAAATCAAATGCTGGAAGATCAACCACGACAGTGTCGATTTCTGCAGCAGTGAAGACAAGCCCTAACTTGGGTTCACAGTCTCCATAAGGAACACTTACTGCAACGTGGGATGTTACAAAATTCCCAGCGTTTTGTGGGGTTGGTAGTAAAACACCAGGGCCGAGGCTCGCCATCAGGGTTACGGCAGTAATTCAGCTTCAGATTCTTCTCTGGAAAGCTGAAAATTAGAAAGTTAAATTAAGAATCTAGGACACTAATGGCTGATAAGAATTGCCTCTCCTCTGGTACAAGTTTTTTTGGGGGCACTCAGTGGGAAAAGGAGTGAGATATAAATTATAAAGGAAACTGCATGAAGAGAACATTAAGATACAAAGTCAACGCTCAAAGTTGGGAAATGGCAGAATTAAGGTTGCCAGAGCAACCTTCCTTTGGGCCTCTTGTTCATATGCACTATAGTAGTTGGGCCCGCCAACACCAAGAGGACAAAGGGGGCACTTGCCCTGGAGACTGGCAATTCCAAAGGGTCTGGGCTTCTGGCCACTGCTTCTGCTACTGCAAATGATAATGGCAGCCAGAGCCCTGGGCTCTTTAGAATTGCTACAGTGAACTGAGCCCCAAAGTTCCAAACCGCATGCTCTGGCTGGCTCTGAGGGTAGCAGCAGGGGGAGTGGGCACCATGCCATCTGGGCTGTGCATGAGCTGGTTGCCCCTGCTCCACCCCTTCCACCTCAGGCCCCACCCCTTCTGGGCGTGCAGAGCCAGCCACCCCCCACATGGCCCAGGGGCCCAGCAATCCTGTCAGTGCCCTTGATGGATACTTCTGCCTAACATCATGCAATAAGTTTGTGGCAGATCAGAGCTAAGAATCCCAGTCCAGAGTCTTACCCAAAAAAGACCACCTTTTCTCTTCTTGCCACCCACAGCCTCATTCACTGTCCTTTCTGTGCACTGAATAACAGGGGTCTTGCACAGCAAATGGCATGTGATAATTTAATACTGTACCATGATGCATACACACAAGGAGGAAGAACATCCTTACACTTATGCATGTGCTTCAGAGTGTTGTTGGATTGGGACCTAAAGGAATTATTAGACCCTTCTCTAATAGACTCCTTTTGTTTTTAAAGGAGATATTGCTTCATTTGGCCAGTTTCCCATGTAGCTTGGCTTTATGCAATGTGTCCTACTACAAAATCTCAAAACTATGTATCAGTTAGCTGTAAGCTAAAATTGCTCATGTGCTCCACTGTGTTGTGCCCAGCTCTCAGTGACCGATATGTGGTTCTCCATTTTCTTTTTGACCCAACATTTTGTACTAGTTGGTGTGATCAGCTCTTCCTGATTGATTGCACTTGTGTAGGGGAACATGCAAGACACTTGCTTCCCTGCTGACTGGGAACACTAAAAGGATCTTTAAAATGTCAGCTGAATATTGCCAAGCATTCAAGTTTTGCAAGATAGTTATTATGCTTTTATGAATGGTAGCACACCTTAGTGGATATGGCACTGGCCCAAGAGTTCCACTACTGCTCTGCTACTGAGCAGTCATGTGACTTTGGGCAAGTCACTTTTAAGGTCTGATAGGCAGAGGTGTTCAGCCCCAACAACTCTTGCTGAAGTCACTGGAACTCTGGATGCCAAGCATCTCTGAAATCTCTGATCTTACATTATTAGAAAGGCTTATTACGTGTATTGTTTCATTACCTAGGAGCCCTGGTAAGGGGCCAGGACCCCCATGTTCTAGGCACTGCACAAAGACAGTTGCTGTCCCAAGGAGCTTATAATCTAAGTATAGGATAAGGCAAGACACAATAAGTAGAAACAGACAGCAAGGAGATCACAATAAGACAATTAAAAACACCAACAACCTTTGCCTCGATTTTTCCCAACTATAAAATGAAGACTATGATGCTATAGATGAAAAGTTGTGTGTTAGTGTTAGGTAATATTTTAATTAGAATCAGAACCAAACCTCAGAGCCTTCTGAGGTTTTTCTGTCACTACAATTTTCCCTAGCTAGAATTTCAGAGAACTTGAAGAAGCTTGCAAAGAAACAAAAAGAAAAGAGAAAGGATTGTTGATTTACCGTCTAACACTGCTTTGAGCAGTAGCAAATCAGACTTCTCTTTTTTTTTTCCGTTGGCCAAAATGGAGCCTCTCCAGTCCACTCTTTAAGGGAAGGATATTCAAAATATATCTCCCTCGCACACATGTAACACTAACAGACCCCAGTTATCAGGGAAGGAAGAGCAAACTTGGAGCCTTTGAAGCTTAATACATGAGACTTTATTATATTAACCAAAAGCCACCAGGCTCTTAGATAAGGCTGAAGCAGACTTGTGCATCTCTGAGCCCTGGTCTTTGCTAGGGAGTTACTCCCCTTATTTCGAAATAACAAATGGAGCGTCCACACTACTAAGCCCGTTATTTCAAAATAACCGGCTGTTTATTTCAAAATAACTCCAGCTTTTCATGAAGAATAAAGCTTATTTTGAAATTGTTGTTTGGGGTATTGTTTTGAAATTTCCTAGTGTAGACATGCCCTGAGTGATCTTGGTACCACTGCATGGGACAGAGTACCACACCCAGGAGGTGCGTGGGTTCCACATGCACACTACCAAAGCCTGCCTATGGTATCAAATACATGGAGAAATGCATTGGCTCAAATGGCCAAGAGAGGTTGGCCAGCAAAATGAACAACTACTTAGATTATTTTTATGAAATTTCCTAGTGTAGACATGCCCTGAGTGATCTTGGTACCACTGCATGGGACAGAGTACCACACCCAGGAGGTGCGTGGGTTCCACATGCACACTACCAAAGCCTGCCTATGGTATCAAATACATGGAGAAATGCATTGGCTCAAATGGCCAAGAGAGGTTGGCCAGCAAAATGAACAACTACTTAGATTATTTTTAAGTGTAGAGGCTTTTTCCCTGGTGTTTGGTCTATTTAGCTGCTCTTAGGTTATTTCATTAATGGTTATGACTTACTTTGAAGGTTTGTACCCGTGAGTGTGAGGTTCTTGATTATCCCAATGCTGGCACTCCAACCCAGACTCTGTTTGGGAAATTTTGCCATTGTAGTTTTCACCACTGCAGTGCATGCACTCTTCTGTATGGATAAGCAGGAGTAAAATACAAAGAAACAGGCAAAAAAATTAATAGCACTGGTCTGGAAATTTTGTTAAGAAACCAATCAGAAAGTGAGGCTATAGTGAAGAACTATTCCAAAATGACCAAGGTCTTTCTACTGTTGAGTGACTTTACATAGTTAATTACTTTAATTTAATTTGGCTTATTTGTTAAACTGTAGCATATTTTAAAATAAAAACAATTAATGACAAACCTACAATTAAAAAGTTGTCTCACTTTTATCCTGAAATATATCAGATGCTTCAGATGTAGTGCTACATTTTGTAAATACCCAATAGAAGTGTACACCTACCATTTCCTTGGGGAAAAATCATTTCACAAGGTTCACTGGTTCTCTCCCCATCCCCTTTTTTTCCTCCACTCAGTCATCTGGAGAAATGGGTTTTGCCCATTAAAGCTCATGATACTATATAAATATTTTTGTAAGTCTCTAGCTTGCCATAGGAGGACTTGTTAATCAGCTATCCTGTCTCTGTAGATGACATTGCAATAATGTGTCCAGGGAGCTGTTAGGCTTCTCCAGTAACATATTCCTTTTTGGAAAGTAGCTTCCTTTTAAAGAGTAAAGACTCAGATAATGAAGACTAGTTCTATATGGGATGTGGTGACACTAAACAGCTAATATTCTTCCACCGCTCTCAACAATCAGACCATGGTGAGGCCAACCCTCTGGTTTCCTAGACTCAACACTAAAGACCATCATTTGGTTTCCTAGATTCAACGTTAAAGACCATCTTCATCTAGTCCGACCTCCTTGCCCTTTGCAGACTATGGAACTTTACCCACCCACTCTTGGAATAGACTCCCAATCTTTGGTTTAGTTACTGAAGCCCTCAAATCATGGTTTAAAGACTTCAAACTACGGAGAATCCACCATTTACTCAACTTTAAACCTGGAAGTGACCTGTGCCCTTCACTCCAGAGGAAGTCCCATCTGGATTCAGTAATAATTATATGTATGGGTTATGAAAGGGAAGGAAGATTCATACATTTAGAATAGAGGAGCTGAATGAAGATTCATCTTTTTATGCACTGAGCAAAGGTGCCCTAGTAGTTGGTGGTGCTTCTGCTGATCAACTGACTCAAACTTTGTGACTGAAAGATTTTTCAGGGCTGGCCCATGCCATATGTTTGCATACAAAACTCCCCCTGATGTCAATGGAAGTTGCTTGCATGACTGTGATTGTCAGGTCAGTCTTTTTCCCCCTAATTTTTAAAATTAAGCTATTTCCTAGTTAGAGCAGATTTAAAAGTACCTGAAACCAAACAGATTCTAATTCCTCTATCTAGTAAATGTTTGTACAAATTATGCCATTCAGGGAGATAGCCTTTTTGCTGAAAATTTTTAAGTCTCAGCTTGGTTTGAATTAAAAACACAAATGGGCCTAAATCACAGAACTGAGGTCTGTATCTGCTATTTTAAGTCCCTGAAATAGGAGTTGTTTGAAAGTCAGATTTTTGGATCAGGCTCATCTCTAATTGAGTCCCTTTCATACCATACAATGGATCTGGCAAAGGCTATTACAATGGAAATGTTAACTGATTCTAAAGTGGGATGCTGAAACAAAATCATTGAGAAATGGCAAGTTCCCCAAGTCCTTTCTGTTTTGGAAGTTTTCAGACAGAATTATGGCATTTTGGCAAGGAAGATAATATACAAGAACAAGACCACAAACAAAGCCCTGAGTCAATGAGGGTATGTCTACACTACCACCTTAGTTCGAACTAGGGTGGTTAATGTAGTCATACGAACTTGCAAATGAAGCCCGGGATTTGAATTTCCCAGGCTTCATTTGCGTGTTGTCGGGCGCCGCCATTTTTAAATGTCCACTAGTTCGGACTCCGTGCCCGCGGCTACACGCGGCACGAACTAGGTAGTTCGGACTAGGCTTCCTATTCTGAACTACCGTTACTCCTCGTGGAATAGGAAGCCTAGTCCGAACTACCTAGTTCATGCCGCATGTAGCCGCAGGCACGGAGTCCAAACTAGCGGACATTTTAAAATGGCGGCGCCTGGCAACATGCAAATGAAGCCCGGGAAATTCAAATCCCGGGCTTCATTTGCAAGTTCGTATGACTACATTAACCACCCTAGTTCGAACTAGGGTGGTAGTGTAGACATACCCTAAGGTACTTAAGCTCACACTTAAGTAAATGAGTGGACTTATTGATATCAAGGGGACTATTAACATGCTTAAAAGTTAGGTATGTGGAACGTAAGAATGGCCTTACTGGATCAAACCACATGCCCATTTAGCCCAGTAGCCTGTCTTTCGATAATGGCCAAGGCCAGATGCCCCAGAGGAAATGAACAGAACAAGTCATCATCAAGTGAGCCCTCCCCTGTTGCTCATTCCCAGACATAGGCTAGGAACACCATTCCTTCCCATCCTGGATAATAGCCATTGATGACCTATCCTCCATGAATTCAGCCTTTTTAGAAATGCTGTAAAAGTCCTTCACAACATCCTCTGGTAAGAAGTACCACAGGCTATGTTGTGTGAATGCCATCTTAGCTACCATAAACATGGGCTAGATCCTCTGCTTTTTGATGCCCTTAGTTAATATTATGGAGGGCTTGGTCTGATTATTAAAAATTGGATGTGCTAATAGTGCAGTACAATAATATTAACTAAGAAAAGATATTCTCCCTTGTCATTTTCAAAGGAATATGTCCTCTGGAAGACAGATAGTTGTATGTTGACCTCAGGGAACTGTTCCATTGCCATTGATGCTATCCAAAAGAAGAATTAGGTTACGTCTACACAAACATTATTTCAAAATAACTAGCGTTATTTTGAAATAACTTAGTCCCCATCTACACAGCAGGCAGTTATTTTGGAATAATATTGAAATACTATCAAGCTGGAAGACTTCTTACTCTGACTCCTGTAACCCTCATTGTACAAGGAATAAGGGAAGTCAGAGGAAGAGTGTTCTATTTTGAAATAAAGTGCTGTGCAGATACTCCCAATATTGAAATAAGCTACACAATTGATGTGGCTCAATTTTCGTAGCTTATTTCAAGTTAAGCCCTGCTGGGTAGATGCACCCATAGAAGCCTGATCCCTGAGCAAAGCCCGTTCAGCCTCAGGAAACGTTTTGCAGCTTCTGGATTAAAGTCTGCTGGCATGGTCTCAAACAAAGAGATAATGGCGTCAGGGGGCTGACACGTTCATACTCTGAAAAAAAAAAGTGCTTGAACAATTTACCATACTTAGCGCTATTGGGTGTAAAAGGATCTTTGCAATATCCTGACCTTCGCATTCTTGGATGTTACAGTAATCAAATCTAGTATTGGGATCTGTTGTGTAACACCAAGGTCCTTTTTCATCCCCATCAGGATTTCTGCAGTAGTTTGCCTCTAACCCTGCAGTGGGGTTTTTGTCAGGTGTAAACCTAAAATAAAATAAAAATGTCATTACAGCGAAAGTGAAATGCCTTAGTTTTGTAGGTGATTTTTGAGCTCCAGTCATACACACTAAAGGCCAGTGAAAAAGATTCTTTGGTTGCCCAGATTTGAAGTCTTATCTGAAGACCACTCCATAGCTGTCATCAGTAGTTAGGGTTGCCAGGTGTCCAGTTTTAAACTGGACAGTCCAATATTTGAGCTTTCTGTTCAGGAAACAAATTGAGAAAATATAAATGTCCGGTATTTTCTAAATAAGATGTAATGTCTATTGTGATGTAATGTCAAGTGTGTCCGGTATTTTTGTTGAAACCATCTGGCAACCGTATCAGTAGTCTCTTCATACCTACTGGAAGTCAGTTCTTTGATAGCTCTGGTGAACAGCCAACAATTTCATATCTACAATTTGTAGCAAACATGACAGTCTCCAAGTCCAAGAATGCTTGTTAACACTTGCAACTCATTATTGCTATTAGATTGCCAGGGTCTGAGCTCAATCAATGTCTGATGTGATTTTCTAATACAAAATATTAGTCTTTTTAATTACGTGTATGGGAAACTTTGCTGGGGAATGCAAAAAAGGACATTAATTAAATGCATGAGAGAGTTGTCAACAAGCAGGATGTGTTAGTATTGCATCCAATGTGTATGGGAGGTTGTTGACTGTTTCTCATTTAATTCCATAAAACAGGCGTGGGGAACATTTGTCCTGTCAGGGGCCCCTGACTAGTGTTCCCTCTAATCTGTGGGGCAGCACAGCTTCACAGGTGATTATTCAGCCCTGTTCAGCCAGAGGCTCAGGGCTCTGCACAGAGCTAACTGACTCAGTGGGGCTGATTAAATCACCCGTGAAGCTGTGCTGCCCCGCAGTTTAGAGGGAACACTGCCACTTACCCACAGAAAATCAGTCAAGGGCTGCACACAAGTTGGGGACCAGATCCAGGTAAGCCGGGGGGGGGGGGGGGAGGCGCGGCCCTGGTGTAAAGTATTGTCCTGGAAACATGCAAGCAGCTCTCCAATATGATGATGTATCGTCTATCTCCTTTGCCATTTTTTGCAGCCATTAAAGCACATGGGTGAAATCCTAGTCCCACGAAAATCAATGAGAGTTCTGCCACTGACTTCAGTGGAGCCAAGATTTCATCCAACGAATGTCTTTTTTACTTGCTTAAGAACCACCACATTTGGCCAGAAATGCTATCTTTGAAATCATCTCTTAGGTCTGTGATCTCCAACCGTTAGACGCACAAGAGCATGTCTGGAATTGAAGATCAACCCTAACTCTACCCTTCCCCTTCCCTGAGGTCCTCCCCCTCTCACTCCATTCCCCTCCCTCTGTCGCTCATTCTCCCCCCTCCTTGCTCCCTTTCCCCAGTCTGGGAGTGGGGATTGGAGTACAGGAGGGGGTGCAGACTCCAGACCAGGGTTCAGTATCTGGGAGAGGGCTCCAGGCCTAGCCTGGGGCAGGAGACTGGGGCATGGGAGTGAAGGGTACAACCTCTTGGAGGGGTACAACCTCTTGGAGGGAATTTGGGTGCAGGAAGGGGTTCCTGATCAGGGCAGAGTGTTGAGGTGCAGAAGAAGGTGAAGGGTATGGACTGTGGGAAGGAGTTTGGTGCAGCAGGAGGTTCTGGGTGGGTGCAGGAGAGGTTTGATAAGGAGTTTGGATGCAGTAGGGGTTTGGAGTGCAGGGAGGGATGTGAGGTACAGGCTCTGGTTGGAAGGTGCTTACCACAGGCAGCTCCCAGCCGGTGGTGCAACAGGGCACAGGCCTGCCCTGGCCATACACCGCTTCTGGAAGCCGCCAGCTGCTGGCACATCTCTCTGCACACACCCAAGAGGGGAAAGGGCAGCAGCTGTCTGCCTACAAGCACCACCTCCACAGCTCTCCTTGGTACTGGGGGCAGGAGCAATGCACAGAGCTGCCTATCCCCACCCACCTCAGGGCTGCAGAGACATGCCAGCAGCCAGCCACTTCCAGGAGCAATGTGGGACGAGGGCGGGCAGGCAGTCTGCCTGAGCCCTGCTGGACTTTTAGGGTCCCAGAAATCACAATGGACTGGCAGAGGCTCCAGAATTGACCAGTCGATTGTCGATTGACAGATTGGTGACCACTGCCTTAGGTCTTCTAGTATAGTTGTTCTCAAGCTGTGGGTCAGGATCCCAAAGTGGGTTGTGACCCCATTTTAATTAGCTGGTTTAACCTTGCTGGGTTCTGGGGCTGATGCCTGAGCTCCACCACCAGGGGATGAAGCTGAAGCACAAGGGCAACAGCCCTTAACATTGGGGCTCAGGTTACGGGCTAAAGCCAAAGGGGCCCCCACTGCCCCAACAGCCCCGTGGAGCAATGCCACTGGGAGACCGGGCAACAGAGCCCCCACCACCCCAGGCTGGGCCAGGGAGCAGCCAGCAGCCACACCCACCCCTTTCCTTGAGTTCCTTTTCTCCCCCTGCCCTAACTCCTGTGTCATCCACTGACACCTTTTCACCCACTGCCCTGAGCCCCGCACCCTCTGCAATGACTCTTGCCCACCACTCTCCACTCTGTCCTGAGCCTCCCACACCTCCCAACCCCTTGCCCTGATTCCTGCATCCCCACCCTGTGTCCCCTACCCCATGCCCTGACTCCAGCACTCCTGATGCCCCCAACCCCTGTCCTGAGGGACCCAAGCAATGCTGGGTAAATCTTCTAGTACCAAATATGAAAAGGATGTACTTAGGGATGTGAGGTTTATTGTTGCTCCACATCTGGCAGGGCACACCACTCTGAGTTTTAGATTCTGTTCCTCTGTAGTCCATCCCCTTACCATTCTTGCATTCTAAAAGGTATACTGCAACGAAATACATTGATCTATCAGTATCATAATGTCAATCTGTTTGAATGAAATAATAATTTATAGATTCCACACACATGCAAAGGACCCTAAATACCCCCATTTTGAATCTTCTTTGCCCTCTCAACCCTCCCACAGAGGTGCTATTAGATAGGTCTTTAAAAACAGGTTTGAAAATGTTAATGAAATAAATATATAAGGCATTTCACTTAAGTGTTAACATAAAGACCAAAAAACTAAAATATTTAGGGAAACAGATATAACAAATTATGGCTATTTTTGATGGATTGTTTCAAATTCCAATGGCTATAATGCTCCTTCTTTGGAGTGGAACAAAACATAGCTAATCAAGGTCTCTTCCAATCCTATGATTTTATTATTCTTATTGTCCCTGGATATGTCTACACTACCGCCCTAGTTCAAACTAGGGTGGTGAATGTAGTCAATCGAAGTTGCAAATGAAGCCTGGGATTTAAATATCCCGGGCTTCATTTGAATCTTGCCAGGTGCCGCCATTTTTAAATCTCCGGTAGTTCGGACTCCGTGCCCACGGCTACACGCGGCACGGAGTAGGTAGTTCAAATTAGGCTTTCTAATTCGAACTACCATTACACCTCGTAGTGTAGACATACCCTCTGTGTTTGTATTGCTCTGCTACAACTACATATGTGGAAAATATTTTCAACATAACCTACAACAGAATGTGAAACTCATCTGATTTTAGGCAGCGTGGGCCCCATAATCACAGATCTAAACCTACCTAAATTTTGGAGATACAAAATTCCACCTGTTGTAACTCAGACCTATTAATATTTGGGTTTTGGTACAAACTGTAAACACAAACAATGTGTTTCACTGAGATCCCTCTGCTCACAAATGAAACTTGACTCGTGGAATAATTTTGAAACCATGAGTCATCCAAGCACAAGATTAAGCCGAATGAGTCCAAGAGAGCTAATCTGAATTTTTGTCAGTGCTGGCCTTTGTGGGTCTGGCCTGACTGTCTGAAAGCCTGGCCTTATTGAAATAAATGGGAGTTTTGACATGAATCCAGGGAGCCAGGATGTCACCTGAACTATATCATTTCCTTATGAAGATAGCCTTGAAGATGTAAAATGACCAATAATTCTGAAAGCCTAAGTTCTCCCTGAGTTTTTCAGGAGATATTCATTGTCTGCTTATAGCCATGTAATAACACTGCTCTTTGGGGTTTGGAAAAACCATGCCCAAATCAAGGAACCTATGGCTAAGATCCTAGAGCAGATGATAGCTGTAGGGCGCAGTGCTGACTAGACTACTGCCGATGGAACTAAGGCTTCTGTAAGCCTGCTGCCTAGGGATTGGGCATCTGAAACCATAGATGGGGAGCAGCAGCATGTCTGATTCTTGACAACCATTCCCACTTAAAGTAACATACAGCATGCAGGTAACTCCATTCCTCTCTAGCAGTTCATCACTAGAAAGCAATATTTATCATACTGCAGAATTCATTTCCTGGTGCCAGACTGGTTCCAACATGCAAATCAGTGCAACCTTGAGGCTTACAAATTCTTCATTTTGACAGCTAAAAATGCTGAGTGCCATTTTGGTTCATTTGGGAACCATTCTAGGAAAGTTTACACAATAAAGCCTGTACAGGAGATAATCATTACTAGAATGCTCTTGTATAAACACACTTACCACAAGAATCACCAAGCATTCAAATACAATCCTGCTCCACTTTTATAAGGCAACCTCCATTAAGCAACCAATTTTTTACAGTTCCTTGTTTGGTCACTTAAGACAGGTTTACTCAGAATTCGTTTTTAGAGGGTCTGGAATGGACTTAGGTGGGTTTTTTTCTTTTTGGGTAACTTCTGGTATTCTCTCTTTCTCCTGCCCATCAACCTACTCCCCAACACAAGCACATGTGTCAATGTTCAGTTCCTCCTTTTGATCCTGGTTCTAAAGTGACCTTTTCTCTACCTGAGAAGAGCTGGGTTTCATTGGGTTGGTTTCAGTGTTTTTAAACATCGGCCATGGAGGATTTTTGTTCTCTCAGACTACTTCTACACTGCAGTTCTTTTCCGGCATACCAGAGGTATTCTGGAAAAACTACCCCACATCCAAGGAACGTGTCCGCTTTTCCGAATTTTTTTTTTTTGAAAAAGTGGATGTGCTCTTTCGCCATCCCTGTAAACATCATTGTAGGAGGAAGAAGGAATGTGCTGAAAGATAAGATTTTCCAAAATTTGGCACCATGTAGATGTGCCAAATTTCGGAAAAGCCTCTTCCAAAAGAAAAGCAGAAAAAGATACGCAAATTCAATTCACAATTTGCATATCTTTTTCTGACTTTTCTTTGTAGTGTAAAGACAGCTTCAGTTTTGCTTCAAAATTTCAAAACTCCCAATGGAGCATAATTCTCCTTTTACATACATCACTGTAAATCTACAGTGATTCCATTTACATACATTGATTTATATAGGTACAGTAACAGAAGAATTAGGCGTACTGCTTGTTTATGGATTGGAATCAAGATTTTCTTAAAACTGAGGGATATTTGGTTTTGGGGTTCTGATCCAGGCTCATTTCTAATCGGTCAGACTATATTTATGGATTGTCACAGTCTACCATAGATTTTTTTTTTTTAAGCTGGGAACATTTTGTATACTCTACGTGGTTTTGCAATGTGTTCACGTTCAAAAATCTAACAAAATGAACACTGAAGCAGTCAAGTGCTGACCTAAACTCTTTTTGTTTGAATAAACTTCTGACAGTTTGTATAACCTTTAGGGTTTTTTCCCATCTGCTAACAAATAACCAACTTTGTACCCTAAATTCAAGCTCATGTTCATTTGGGTTAACAATTTACAAATTGGTATGTCCAAATACTGCCTTTAATTCTCATCCCTCTTTCCATAACACAAACTAAATTAGCTTTTCTGTGTTATAGCATGTTTAATGGAGCAGTTCTGGGGAGGAGGGGAAAGCTGCACATTTTTTCATATCAAATACTATCTGTGGCTGTGAAAGGTAAGATAGAGGAGGGTAATCAAATCTCATTTTGAGAGGGTAGGATGACCTCTTGTGGACAAAAGCAGAGAGCTATTCATTCCATCTACAGAACTGCAAAATCATTTAGGTGCCTAATGGGAAATGTTCATTTTCCTTTGATGCATTAAGATACTGGGGATGCCAGAGGTAGCAATGAACACAGCACAAATCAGTGATCTGAGCTGGTTAGGCAAATTACACGTTCCTATTTCCTGTTCTGTGACAACATATTCAGACAATAAGATTTTATATTTAGGATTTATACCAGATGCGTTAAAATTCTGTGAAAATAATAGGGTGAATTACAAAGGGACAGTGCTAGATACTTAGCAGGCTACAATGAGACCTCCAATTTCACTAACCTAGATATGTTGTGCTGTCCTAAGCTGTCCTTAGCAGTGAGTTTCACAGCTTTGAATGTAACAGTTAGAGCTTCTTCATGCCTTATTTAGGAGGCTACTCTACAGAAAGAACCTTATTGATAACTGCATTGGATCTTTTAATATGGTTAGTAAAAAATTAAAATAAAGCAATGACTAAATCAAGAGTTGACAACCCCCTTTGTCCTAGAACTAGTCTTATGATATTAGAATTTTATTGAAAGGCCCAGCTCACGGAATCAAATTATTAGATGAGAATCTCAGTTTTCAAATTTAAAAAAACCCAGTAAATGTGTAGCTTTGGGGCTGCACATGTGAGCTTGAAAATGTGACTTGAATTCACCTCTATGGCTCAAAAGCCTGAAGGAAAATAAAAACACCCACATTTATTATTTTTAAATAACTCATGCTTTTAAAACCAATCTTGTGACTTTTGTAGCTTGACTCGTGGTTTTTGAATGCTTGTGGAATTTTCATATATATACTGATTGATCTATATAGTTACATTGTTTAACAGGAAATCAGCCCCAGCATCTATAACTGAGATGTTCAAATTACCCTAAGGGAATTGAATGTCCGAATCCTATTAGGTTTTAATGGGATTTGGGCACCAAATTCCCCTGGAATCCCTTGAAAGTCCCAGCCTGCATGTGGTAGGATTGTCACCCATCCTTATATTTTGTTCCAAAGTTCAAATTTTGACAGTGCCCCAAACAAATTTGCAGGGTTGGCATGTCATTGTATTGGCATTCATGCATCATGAGTTATAATACAAGTTACAGTGTTGTGGTGTTTTGGGACAGATTTGGATCTCAGTGTTTCATTGGCCTTTCGCTGGATTTACAGCAGCATAAACCAGAATAAGAATCTGGCCCTCTGAATACAGTATTTCCATTGTGTCAGTGGGAATATTTAATTACTAATAAGTGAAAAGGTAATTTCATCTTACTTCCTTGTTTGCTCATGTGATCACTGATTTTCCATATTTATAACAAAAACTATACGGGGACAACTTTTAGGGTCCTTGCTCGGCTTTTACTCAAACCTTACTCGAGGGAAACTCCCGCTTCCCTCTGGCTATAATAGAATATCCCATATTGAAATATTAAGTAGGACATTTACTAAGTCCACTATTCTGAAACCTATTTTAATTTGTTTCAGAAGTGTTGTGATTCAAAATGTTTGTGTAGAATTTAATACCAGTTATTTATTTCATACATCTGATGAAGTGGATTTTACCCACAAAAGCTTCTGCCTAAATACATTTTAACGACTTATTTACTCTATTTTCTATGAAGAATTTGTGAAAAAAGAAAGTCACAGGGAGTTGTATTATAAATCTGGAAGCTCTAGATAAAGGGTTTGGATTGGAAGATCAGTTTTGTGTTGGTGTAAATAACGCTGGTGGCATTGAAGATATCAAGTTACAAGTTACATCATCAAAACAAAATCTCCTTGGTTGATCATAAACTGGTGATATGACACACAACTGTTAATGATACTGGCTCCTATAAATTAATCTTTTCTTTTGTGTTCTACACATTACACTGTTATCCTGTAGATATGCCAGGATGTGAATGTGAGAATTAGCATGAAGTTTGATGAAGCTCATTGATATTTAAATTCCAGTTTTAAGGGTGTCTGCACCAGATCCATAGCTAAAGTCAATTAAATCAGTGGCACAATACTAAACTTATGTCAGTTTAGAATCGGGTCCATTATGTTTTCCTTATTGAACCTGTATGTGGTAAATGACACCTGCTTCCTGGCTGTCCCCAGCTTATTATTTCAGTTTATTTTTCAAACTCATAAACATTTTTTAAAATGTAAAAAAACATTACTGATGATTACCTCATCATTTAACACTGGTGACAGTCTTTTCTCCAAGACATCTCCCTTCAGTCAACTGGTTTACTTTGTCATTTTTCTTCCCTTAAAACTGTGAAGTGCTCACATGCAAAAATGGAAATTTATTTTTCCCACTGCCTATTGTTTATTCAAGGCTTGACTATAGTTTTATTCCAAGAGGAGAATTAAGGAATCCAAAATAGGTCTTACACCTAGTCAGTTGTCAGAGCATGAGAATAGAGGTTTTAAAAGGGAGTTTATCCTACACATGGATATTTCATATTTTCTTATTGAGAGATTCACTGTTTATAGACAGGCAAAACCAGAAGTTGATTTCTGTATTGTGGGGCCCTGGCCCAGAGTAAGTGGTGTGCCCTCCCCTCCTTCTGTCTGTAGTTGCCCTTGCAAAGTTCAAAGGATTCCGCTGATACCATTCCGCTGATACCATTATTGGACCTAACCAAGTGAGTTATAAGATCAAGAACACATATTCCTGCGCATCCAGAAATATAATCTATGCTATCATGTGCCGAAAGTGTCCGTCTGCTATGTACATTGGACAAACATCTCAGACACTTCGCCAAAGGATTAATGCCCACAAAACAGATATCAGACAAGATCACAAAGAAAAAACAGTTTCTTGCCATTTTAACCAGAAAGGACACTCTCTCAATGACTTGACCACCTGCATTCTGCTACAAAGACCTTTTACATCTGCACTTGAAAGGGAATCCTCTGAACTGTCATTCATGTTAAAATTCGACACTTGCCAACAAGGACTTAACAAACATTTGAACTATCTCACCCATTACCAAGACAGTTTCCCCAATTATCACCTCTAATACCATTAACTCACAAACATCCCACTCTCCCTACCTCTAATATCATCAATTCACAGACACTTACCTTCCTTCCTCCCCCTTCCCACCCCCCCGCATCCCCCTTCTGTTCTGCAATGTGATTTGTCCTTTTCATATTTGTTCTTTTTTTTAATTGTATCCTTTGGTATATACGGTTGTGACTACTTTCTTCCACTATTTGATCTGAGGAAGTGGGTCTGGCCCACGAAAGCTCATCATCTAATAAACCATCTTGTTAGTCTTTAAAGTGCTACATTGTCCTGCATTTTGCTTCAACTACCCCAGACTAACACGGCTACATTTCTATCACTGTTCTGAATCCAGGACTGTTCAATGGACTACATAGAATCACTTCAGTTTTCAGTCCCTTTCCCTGCACTCATCTACCAAAATCATCACTACTGTAAATGGCAGTAAATTAGCAACCTTGGAAAGGTGGTCAAGGATATATTTTTGTCAAATAATCACATATTAAAGAAGCAATACCGAAGTATATACATACTTTTTTTCTCATAGAGCACCACATTTGTTCTTCTGATTGACTCTGCTGTTTTTGTGTTCTCAGCTAATGTAATACACTGTTGATCTTTACTGGTGAATAGAAAGGCCCTGTTGAAATTGAAAGGGGAAAACAATGTGAGAAACAGCAATTGATTTTGTTTAAATTATTGTCTTAGTGAATGTTTTTCAGTATCCATTTCAGATTCTATCAGCCATGGCAGTTTAGAGATATTTTAGGCTTTCTGTAAAATTTTCAAAAGCACTTTAAATGCCTAAATTGGACTTATGCTCCTAAGGTACTCAGGCACACTTGGAAAATGTTACTCTGTCTGTAGTAGGTTGCAATTGCCTAGGTGATAACTCAGTCTGCACAAACTGAACTACAGGTGTTAGCCTGCGTTTACATTAAGAAAAGTAGTTATGTTAGGACTGATTTATCTAGCTTGTGTTAACTAAGGCCACATCTCCACTTGCAACATCAGAGATTGATCTTCTGGTATTTGATTTTAGCGGATCTAGTAATGCTGATGGTGCCCCAGGTCGGCACTGGTGCTCTTCGATTTATGAGGCTTGAGGGAAACCAATGGGAACATTTGCTCCCATCGACCTCCCACTGTAAAGATGGTGCTAATCTTGGCCTAAAGTATGTCAATTCCATCTACGTTATTTACATAGCTCAAGTTGCATATCTTAAGCCAACCTTCCAGGTCTGTATAGACCGAACCTAAATCTGACCAACATTCAGCTTTAACCTGGTCTAGCAAAGCTTGATACAGGCAGCTCTTACTACATACAAAACTGTGTTCAACAATTATGGGCAAAAACATGCCAGAAGCATTACAGTAAGCTGCAATGTTGATCCCAGTCCTTTAGTATGTTTATGAAGGTGTCACATCCTTCCTCTCATGTTGCTTTCTTCTCCTGGTTCCCTCCACTATGCTAATTAGCATGCATTGTTCGTTGATTTAAAGAACGTATACAAAGAAGTCCTATTACCCTAGAACCTGATTTGATCAAGGGCTTGAAGGCACAGGAGCTTAATCTTGCTCCAGCAGCAGTCCCCATAAATTTTGGTGATCAGGTCCCAGGGGCAGAGTTTATGGCTGCAGCTCTGATTTCCCCACCTGATAATCAGGAGGCTGAGGGATAGCACTGTGTGAAGAGATCCCAGCAGAGAACAGTTAGCCCTTGACAAAAGCTACATGAGTGTGTTTTAACATGTCCAGTCTCTCTCTTGCCTTTCCTCATTGAGAGCTTGTGACAGGGTGTTTGCCCTGAACTGGCTCTTTAAGGGCAAACCCCAGCCTGGAGCAGGGCCTGGGAGGTTAGCCCCAGGGCTGTGTCCAGACTCAGGGGTTTTTTCGAAAAAAGTAGCCTTTTTTCAAAAAAACTTCACCTGCGTCTAGACTGCAGCCGCGTTCTTTCGAAATTAAATCGAAAGAATGCGGCTTTTCTTTCGACGGTGGTAAACCTAATTCCACGAGGAAGAAAGCCTTCTTTCGAAAGTGCTCTTTCGAAAGAAGGCGTTCTTGAAAGCAAACAGGCTTTTTAGAAAGAGAGCATCCAGACTCACTGGGTGCTTTCTTTCGAAAAAGCGGCTTGCTTTTTCGAAATTCTGCGTGCAGTCTAGACGCTCTCTTTCGAAAGAGGCTTGCAGTCTAGACATAGCCCAGCTGAGGCTGTATTAGTTGATTAGGGCCCAGCTGGGAGCTATATAACAGGATGGGCTGCTGCTCCCAGGGTGAGCAGTGAGAGTCTGGCTGGAGCTGGAGCTGGAGCTGGAGCTGGAGCTGGGCAAGGCAAGGCAAGGGGAGCTCTGGCCAAGCAAACCTCCAGACTGCAGGGCCTGAAGCACAGCCTGCTGAAGAAACAACAACCCCTGGAAGGGGGGCTCAGAGACTGACGTGGGCACTGCCGGAGGGCAGTGTCCTGAAGAGAACGCCGTCCCCTGGAGGAAAGGGGAAACACCACCTGAGGGAAGGCACCCAGCCAGTGGACAGATGGCAGGGGGTGCTGTGGTGGTGAGTGAACCCCCTCACAGAGCTCCAGGGGTTTTGCAGAACTGCATCCTCTATATTGCTCCAGACAGAGATTCATAGAGGTGGGATTCACAGAGGTTTGTGATGATTCATTTACATCAGAATAGTAGCTGGCAGTGACTTCTACAATCCTGGTTAGTAGCATCCCTTTAAAATTGTTGTTGTTTCCTGCTAGATCTTTGCCATCTTGAAAACTTAAATCAGATCTTGAATTGAACATCAAGTTAAAACTAACTTTAAAAACTCTGCATTAGATCACCTGTGGCTTGAACTGGGGGAGAGGTCCTGGAAGGGCAGAAAATGCTATGAGATTCATCCCTGGAGTTTTTAGAGAAGCCACATTTGGAAGAGAGGGTTGGGGACCCCTGGGCTATGTCTACACTTGCGGCTTCCTGCACCAGAAATATGCAAATGAGGCTAAGCGTGGGATATTGCCGAGACTCATTTGCATACCTAATGAGCTGCCATTTTTGCAGAAGAGTCTCTTACGCCAGAAGGAGCTGTCTACACTGCCCCTTCTTGCGCAAAAAACCCCCCTCTTGCGCAATGCCGTTATTCTTGAAAATAATCAGTGTAGCAGCATTGCACAAGAGGGGTTTTCTTGCGCAAGAATGGGCAGTGTAGACAGCTCCTTCTGGCACAAGTGCCTATTCTACAAAAATGGTGGCTCATTAGGTATGCAAATGAGGCTCGGCAATATTCCACGCTTAACCTCATTTGCATATTTCTGGCGCAAGAAGCCGCGAGTGTAGACATAGCCCTGGAGTATAGAGAGGTAGGTCTCCCAGATGGACAGGACTTGGAATAAAGGGACCCTTTACAGTGCAGACTTCTCCCCTCACACTGATCCACTGCCCCCCTCACATAGACATACCACTCAAAACTCTCAGGCCATATGCTAGACTCTACAGTTAATGCTGCTGCAACTAATGATAACTCTCAGTAAAATATCCAGCCAGCTATCAGGTAACTGAGCAGGAGACATTGGTTCAGGTTGGCTTGTTCCCTGATCCATCCCCTCCAGTGCTCCAAAGTTCCACAGAGACCCTTACTCATAGGACTTCACAGAGAAGTAGGGAGGGTAGGTGGTGTCATTCCTTCTCTCCCTGGGAAGCAAGGGAAGATCTAGTAGTCCACATACACTAATAAGGAGGTCCTCTGGTTCCTAGCATAGAATAAGAGTGTGACAGAGCCAACAGGTGCTGCTGCTGATGTCCTGTCTTCTGAGCAGCACATTTCTTACAGGCCTATGTATGGTGAAGGGTCTGAAGGCACCTGGATATTAGTGTGTTAGAATGTTGTCAAGAGGATTTGTGCATCTAGATCCCAAGTTATTTTCTAACACATATGCTAAAATTAAAAACACAGTCGTCTTGGTCTTCTCTTTTCACCCACATCTCTCAGGTATTGACCTTCTGGGCACTTTTCCCTTCCTCTGAAAACTCAGAATAAACTTATTGTGGAGGAATATCCTTAGAAAGCTTCATTAACATGTAAAGCAGAGCACTCAGTCCACCACAATGAGATTTAGCTGTGGGACACAACAGAAGTTACCTGCATGTGAATTTTGTTTCAGCTTCACATTTCTCAGCACATTCTTCTTTACCATTTGTTTTGTAAATCTGTTTTGTTACGCCAACTATCCAAGCACCCTCGGTTTTTACATAGTCATCTAATATGTCTCCTTGTGCTAAAAGTGAACAAAAGGAGTGGAGGTTAAAAAGTCAGTATGCTAAAGTTCATATAATTTGTTTTAAAATACCATTTTCTATGACACATTGGCTAGTAATGCTGCCCTTTAATTTGTGTGCATTGAGTTAATGGTAACACATCCTGAATAAGCTCCATTCTCCTGGCATGGTTAAGGTTGGCAGCACTGGAGGAGGCAAGAAGGAATGCAGTAGGACACAAGGACAGAGACAAAGCACTTTAAAGAAGAGAACACAACATTTGACTTCGATGCATATGGAATGGAAAGCAGATAGAGACCCGAAGGGGTGGAGAAGCTACACTTTACACTACACTCTCTCCCTTTACTGAAAAAGGGATGTAGTTTAGACATACCAGAGTGAATTGGAAACAAGGAAGGTGATTTTGGTAGTCATATTTTGGAGATACTAGAAGGATGGGAGTAATGTGAAACAATGACTCTCAGTGGGTGGCCCAATCCCATTGAATTTGTAGAAAGCTCAGCTTTATCTATCACATATTCTTGGTTGTCTGTCTCCAGATGTTTTGAATGGAAATCATCATGCTATCACTATGGCCATTTACCATGTTTATTGTTATAATAACTCAAGACTAGAGCAGATTCAGGTTGTCTCATTGATGGCAATGAATTCACACAATTGCAAATTGGTAAATTAATTTGGCGGTTTCTGAAAGCTAGACCTGTGTATGTTAAATATATTAGCATATTCATCAAATATATTAGCATATTCATCAACACATTTAACATCTGCATGATGTTGAGATGTTCAATTACATTTATCCTAGTAAAGGAATTTGCTACCTAATTAACTTTCCTCTGACATCTATAAATCTCTCTATTCATCAGTCAGACAATTGTTTCTTTGCTGTTTTAGCAGCAGGATTACAGAGAGAACTAGTTGTGTGCTTTTATCGTTCCCTTTTCAAATCAGAATACGCTTGATGTATGGTGGATACTGGGAATTATTCATGTAATGTGAAACTCACCCCCAAACAGAGAATGAGCCCAGTGCCTACACATTACTCAAATCCATTTATACCTTGGTTGGACCATCTGCACAGGGATGAAGTTCATTCTCATAGAAGTTGATTTGAATCAACAGGTATTGGGCCTAATTCACTGCTGCATATTTATCCAGTTTTATGCCAGCATAACCCATAATTTTGAGGGTTAACATTACATACATACATACACCCATATTTATATTATACCAAGTGTTTTCTGTTGCAGATATGAAAGTAAATATATCTCCAGTGTTCAAGGGTACTGTTCTATAGGTGCCAGAGGGGGTGGTTGAACAGTATAAGATTCCAGGCATCGAAGAAAATCTCCAACCTCTGGAAATCCCATATGTACACCCACCTTATTGAGAGGTCTTTGTGGAGTGCTAGTGGCCTGCTCCTAAAGCAGCATGGAGCCAAATGTACCTTTCCCAGAGTTTTCTTGGAACTGCCACAGGTAAGGGGCACTTCTCCTCAAATCTCACAATCTGGATTTGTGGGGAACAAAGCACCTGCCTTGGCCAACTGTTTTCATACAGTGGTTTAATTCCATTGATTTCAGTGTGTTACTTTCAATTTGCACTAGTGTAAGTGTAGACATAATATCAGACTTAGGTTATCAACTATGGGAGGAAATACTCCTAGTCCTACTGCCAGCTACTGTCCCTACCATCCATAATCTCTAGCAAAGTAGTCAGGCTCCAGTAGTAAGTATACTAGCCTAGCATTTAGGAGACCTGGGTTCAAAAGTGCCTACTCTGTCAGTCTTCTGTGTAACCTTCAGCATATCATTTACTTCTCTGTGCCTCAGTTCCTTAACTGTAAAATAGGGTTAATAGCATTGCCCTACCTCAAAGGGATATTTTGAAGGTAAAGATTGTGAGGTGCTCAGACATTCTGATGACAAAGACCATATAAGTATTTAGATTACTAGTTGGAGACCAGGCTGTGGGATTCATGTCCCTGCTGTCCTACTTCATAATTATGAAGCAATGGGTGGGTTTGGGCTATCTATGGTTTTGCTCATCTCTAATCTCAAATTTATTTTGTTTTCTAAACCAGTACCACCTCAAATACTCATTGCTTTCTTTGATCACACAAAGCATCCCCATTTTTATTGATCAGTGTCATGAATAGAAAATAATATTTGCTAATAGCTTTGCACCTACAGAGATGCGGCACCTTTTCTAATCTGACATAAACTGTGCACAAATAATTTGGAAGGTGTCTACAAGCTAATTTTGGCTGAACGGGTAAATAGAAACAGACAAGATAATATGACAAATTCCTTGATGAAGCTCGCAAAACACAAACAAAATAACTGATCTCAAAATACAACAGGCTGTGCATTTTTTTTAACTTAATGTCCAGTTTGTGCTAAATCCAGAAATAGGCCAGTCAGATATATGGAATTAAAATGATCTGCTCACTTTATATACAAATTGATTATATATATTCTGGATTGGTACTAGAACATGTAAATGACTGTTTCATTGAGGTTTTGAGAGGGGTTGATGTGGCTCACTAGTTTGGGATGTGAAGTTGTGCTGGTAAAATTGAACAAAATTCTTTTCAGATTTTTTTCTTTAAAGATTTCAAAATTCTTTGGAAAAAATCAAAAATGAAGTAACAGGGACTAATGACACCTCTGTTATAACAACATTTAGCAAGACAAGGTAGGTGAGTGTAGCAACGGGGCACAGCCAGGGTTAGAAGCTGGTGGGGCAGGGAGGGTCTGTGTTTCTCCCAATGCCCAGCCACTGCCTATTGCCACTGGGTTTCATGGCTACTGATTACTGTCCCCGAACGACATGGCTACCAACACTCAGCATTGGGTGACACTGAAAGGTTTGAACTTCAACCCCTCACAAACACATACTAGAGAATATGGGCCCTGCTCAAGTCCTGTAGAAAGTTCAGGTGCTGCATTTGTGGCCATGAATATGGAAAAGTTTACTGAAATGGATGGTGGAAAGCAAGCAACAGCAGGCAGCCCAGCAAGAGTAAGGTCAACTACTACAAGTGGCCCAGCAGCAGCACCAACTACTCTAGGATCTGACAACACAGCAGCAGGTGCTGATTCAACAGATGCCAGCACACTTGCAGCTGGAGAGGGCATCTAGCACTTGGAGGCCCAGACCCTGAGGGGATGTCCTCCCTACCAGGTTGCTCATCAGGCATACAAACATGGGCCCCTGAGATGACCCATAAGCCTTCTAGATCACTTTCAAATGAGTGGCTGCCACAGGAATGCTGGGCCAGGAGGATAGCCCCATATTTGACAAGACCCACACCAGCCACCTACAGGGGCTTGGACCCCATAGAATCACTGGACAATAGCAAGGTAAAGGCAGCTATTCTCAGCTACCTGGACATCAACCCTGAGATGTTCTACCAGCAGTTCTGAAAGAAGAGATGCCATGCAGAGCTTGTAGGCTGGGCATGGCCATGGTGGTGCTGCCAGGATGGGTTAACAGAACTGAAATGATGGGCCTGATAGACTTCAGGTGTAGCCAGACAGTTGTACAGATAGGCCCTTGACAGTAGGCCCAACTGCTATCATCATTGCTGTTAGTCATATAGGAAGTCTTCCAAGTCAACACAGGATTCTTGCTCTTTGAACTTCTGCGCAGTAGACAGCCTGGGAAGCCTGGAAAGAACAGAAGACTAGGGTGGTGCGCTCGGAGCCATCTGTGTTCTAACAATAAGAACAGCTGGAAATGCTAGGGGCGTCACTAAGGCCCAGGAATGAATCAACAACAAGGGGGCACAGTTGTGAACATCCAAACCAAATGAAAGGGCTTGTTGTTACTTCCAATACTTGAGTCAAAACTATTGGCCCTGTGACGGGCCTTTAGAAGTGGAAAGAAGGGTAGAGCCAGTTCACTATGAGATCTGTCAGCATGGGTGATGGAGGGAGATGCAAATTTTATCACATGAACTTGCCAAAGACCTGCAAGACTCGTGACATTCTTATAGCCCTTTATTCCCCAGAATCATAACTGGGGGCTCAAGCAATGACATCGACAGACCCAGTCCCAGTGTCAATGGGGCTGGAGCTTAACCCAAGATAGTAAAACCAAACACTGTGACTAACTTAGGCCTTCCCCATGATGTTCTTGACCCTTGTAGGTAGGATGTGCCTAACTTACCATCACATCTCAACTATGCCCAGATAGTAAATACAGGCGAGTCGTTGGTCTCTGCCAAATAAAATGTGGCAGGTGGTCCACAAGGAGCTCTAGGCTATACTGATCCTGGAGGTCATCAAGGATTCCCATCTTGAGTGAAGGAGCCCTAATGTGCTGGTGCCAAAATCCAGCAGCTCAAAGAAATTCTGCATAGACTTTAGAAAGATATTTTGATTCTATGCATATCTAATGCCTGGGTGGGTGAGAGAGACTAAAGAGTACCAAATATATTCAGGCAGCCCACGACTTGTGCCACGATCAGTTCCTGGGGAAGCATCGCATGTTGGGGGTGTTGTAACTCAAACCTTCATTTACAATAGTGTGCTGTCGTAAATGTGGGCTGAGAACATAAGTCGGGGTTTTTTGGCCCCTTCTGCACTTACAAAAATGGTTGGAAGTGCGGGGGGTCGGAACTTGGGTGGTCGCATGTCGTGGGTTTTCAGTACCCAGGCAAGATTTGACAATAGGATACTGGTAATCCTTATGGTAAAGGCATCCCAGGAGGATATGGCCTTTCCTACTCCCTTCAGCCTCTGATAGCACATTACCATGGTAGTTCAAGCCGTTGGGAAGGCTGGGCTTACAGTGAATCTGGTTAAGTGTTGCCTTGAGCAGAGAGAAATCCTGTCAATATAAGTCAAGGCCCAGCAGAAGTCACTAAAATTGCTCTGGATTTACACTGCTGTTGCTGAAGGCAGATGTTGCCCTGTGGTCCCTATCCCTAGAAGCAAACAACCGAGTGGCAAACCTGATACAAATGGTAGCTACAAACAATAATAGGGAAATAGGAAAACAGACAGGAGTTACAATAACAAGGTCACATAATTACTTAGAAAAACACCTAAACAACAAATAATCCTGCAGCACCTTAGAGACTAACAAAAAATGTAGATGACAGAACCCACAAATGAAACATCTTAGATGTACTGCATGCATATCTTGCTGATTCCACTCTTAACTGTGTTCCAACACAAAAATGACATTAACAAGAAATAAGACTGAGAATACGTATCCATAATATAAGGTAACATATAGGGATGGTGTACTTATCTCTGATACATTCATTACTAACCCTGAAACTTCAGGGTAAAGGTTAAACTTAAAAGAAGTCCAAATATGTTAAGATATAAAAACAAACTGTATCCAGACAACCTTGCCTGTGCCCTATAGCAAGATTATGCAATAACTATACAATTCCGATTAAGGCATTTTAATGTCAATGGTCCAAAATTAGATTAAATTAATTTTAAAAACATTTGATTTTTTTTCTTTTCCCTCATAGTATCACTATAGAAAACAGTACTTTGAGAAAACAAGGAAAATGTATGTGGATAATGTTGAATCTTGTTATTCACCCAGCACTGTGTCTGTGTGTGATATGTACCTATTGCTATTTTTTTTAAGTCTGTGGAATTCTCTAATACTAACAAGATGTTATTTTCTTATTCAGAAAAGAAAGCCAAGATTCACATTTACAGCAGTTTGAGAAATGCCCATGAACATATTGGCAAGGCCAATGCTGGTTATGTTTCTTGAACATGTTGCCAACAGAGGACAAAATCTTGTAAACACCTAATCCTTTCGATTTTAATTGGAATTATACATGTCAAAATCCAGAATTTAAATTCACTTGGATATGCTTTAACATCAAATAATTACTATATTTTGTTATAGACGGTCCCCTATGTAATATTTCTAAATCCTAAGTCTATTTGCTAGAATCTAGTCACACCTTTTACCTTTGTAAGACCTGATTCTCCTATACCCCTCACTCCCACATAATCAGGGCCAGATTAAGGGGGGAAGGCTAGCTGAGCAGCTGCCTGGGGCACCAACCTATGGGGGTTAACTGATGGCAGCTGTAAGGGGTGCCACGCGCCCAGGGCCGGGGGCTGCGTGGCGCCCCTTAGAGCTGCAATCAGGCGCCACGTGCCCGATTGCGGCTGTAGGGTGCGCAGTGCTCTGGGGGGTGGAGCCGCACATGCGTCGCGCGCCCGCTGCCCGGGACGCAGGAATGGCTTGAGCCGGCCCTGCCCATAATTACAAACACAAAATATCCCTGATTTCTTCTATCATCTTTCCGTATGATCTCTAGCAAGATAAAGTTGTTACATAAGCATATGAACTATTGACTTGATTGCTAACCTTACTTTTAAAACCGCTATTGCAGCAGTTCATGTAGGCATATTCAATGACTGTAGCAGGAAATGCCATCAGGTTCCGATAGCTGAGTCAAGTTTCATTTGTACAGCACACAAAGTACTTACTCAAAATGTCCATAGCACTTGCTGATCTTCATAAAAACAAATATGTATTTTAAAAGGCTTAACATATTGTGTAGCATTTCATAAATCCTCTTGTTTTTATCTTTTGAAAAAACTAATCTTATGGTGTCTAGACGACTGAAGATTAAATTCCAATCTATTACCCCACACAAATAAGTAATAAGAAAGCCTCTTACAGGAAGCTGGCCACAGAAGAGACTAACATCTCCATGCTATAGTGGGATGCTTTCTTTTGTTTCTGCTTAAAAAAAACAACAACTTTGGATTTAATAATAAACAAAAAAACCCTAATCTGTAATACTTCACTAAATAAATGAAAAGCACCCAGCTTTGGGATATTTGATCAGACCTTGGGCCTGATCTAAAGCCCACTGAAGTCCATGAGAGTCTTTTCATGGACTGAAATGGCTTTTATATTAGGCCTGTATTGACCTACTTTTCAAAGGTGCTGAGCCCCTGCAGTTTCCATTGGCTTCCATGGGATTTGTGGGTACTCATTACCTCTGAAAACCTGGCCACTTGGAAATCTGCTCATAACACATTAAAGTTACTTGTTCAAAACAAAAACATTGAAGAGCGGGTACATAATTTTTCCTGGGACTTTAGCAAAGAGAAGAATCAATATGTCAGAGCTTTGTTGCCACTGGGCCTGTGTCAGAAGTTTCCTAATTTACACCATTTAGTGCTACCAAATCCTTTGTTTAAGGCTTATTGAATGACAAAGTTGCAAATAACTCAACATGAGTGTTATTTGTTCAAAGGGCTGCATGGTACAACCCAATCACAAAAATTAGCAAATAACCTAATGGTGCATTGTATTGAATCAGAAGAACAAACAAATCAGGAAATAAGACTTAAATAATATATTATACAATATAGTGTATAATAAGTTATTTTAAATGTAGAGGAGGCAAAACAAAAATTCAGCAGATTCTGGTGCTTTGAAGAAATTTAGAATCTGAACTAGGGCTCTGGATAGAAATACTGTGGCTAGTGCTTGCTCTTTTAATGGGAAAGCCTAATCTCTGAACTAAAATGCTCTTGAAGCATTTAAAGAGGTGAGATCCCCAAGGGGTCACAGGCCTGGCAATAATAATAGTAGTAATAATCAAGTCAGGTCACTGAAGGGTGCACTTTAAGCACTGTTTTAACAAAAACACTGCTCTCAGATTACGCTAGATCTCCAACCCCCATGCCCCTCCACCCCCCTCACACACATTTTTTCAGGCCACCGTAAGCAGTGCTTTGAAAGCATCTGAAATTGAGATAGAATTTGAATTTTGCAGTTTGAACTCTTCTTTAATACTAATAAATACTAGCAATAGCAATATGTCAGGACTGCAGGGCCCCCTTTCTGTAGGTGCCATGCTTTGACACAATAAATAAAGATTTGAGAGAAGTGGCCCTGGGCTGTGTGGCTTTCACACACATCTCTAAAGTCTAGAAAAGTTACAGATTTGCACTGTTAAATATAGAGGTCAGAGATTTCAGATTTGGCAGCTAAATACAAGTGTCCTGATTTGCTGAGTTGCTGTAACACCACAGCTCCCATTTTCCCCTCTAGTAGCTGTGGTTACTCAGCATCTCTACTAATCAGGTCCTTTGAATTAGGCACCTAAATATGGATTCAGGCACCCCGTTTCAAGCACCAAATTTGGAATTTTTGGCCAGTATCTCACTTTGATTAAAATGCAATATAAACAAACCTTACCTGGGTATAGAAATAAAAGTAACAGAAAGACGGCTTTGCTAATCCCCATTTTGGGACAGGCTGGCTCTGTGCTGAAAGCTGTGTTTAATGCTGTGTCAGTTTTATTGACTTGCACTCGACTTAGCATCCAGCAAACAAGATAGTCAAATTAAGTTAATCATTCTCCTGGTTCTGTGACCCACTCTGTCCCGATCTAAATGTTCAAATATTACCTTGAATTGAAGATCTTACAAAATAATGTTTCAATGTTTGTATTAGATTCTGGGAGAAGATGAAAGTGCTCTCCTATCATACAGGGCATGCTTTAACTCTGAAATTGTTAGGCCTCATTTTGCCAACCTAAAGACTGGGATAGTATTACTGAAAAATACAGAAAAGGCCATGGAGCAGAATGCACGTTGCTGTTAGTTTGGGTCTTGAAGGGCAAGGCCCTGACGCTAATCTCACACTGCTCCGTTGACATAGATGCAGTTATGCCTGATTTATACTGTTAATTATATTATATTGTCATACTGCAGTTTCATCAAAAAATCCCTCTCTCATTGTATTTGAATTTTAAACCTACTCTAGGGTTGGATTTTGTTGGTGGGGGTTACTTACAGAGGAGGGCTTGTTTTGTTTTAATTCCTAACAATGTCTGATCACTATTGACTTTGACTTTAGGTCTACGATATCTATGTTGCTACAGTTGGGCTCCTCCTTTCCACAGACATAGCCACACCCACACCAAATCTTCTAGCCAGTGCGCCACACCCCTGTCCCAGACTGATTTCAAACACTACCAGATTAATTCCTGCAATGCCCTTTCTCTTGGAAAAATTGCATTTTAACATTGTTTTGTAGCCTCCCAGACTATGTTGGGTTGGTGAGGGAGCCTCACCTCAAACTGTGGAATCAAACATGCAAGTAACTCAGGAGATCCTGAGGGAGAGGAAGTTCCAAACGGACTACGGATAAGGTGAGGGTATAAATAAATTAAGGAAAAGCACATGTAGATTGGATGGGAGCTGGATTGAACTCCACATGTGTTATTTTGCATAGGAGCCCTATACAGCCTAGAGCTGTTCCTGCCTGTAGTTCTGTGAAACACTCTCACTTTCTGGACAAGATCCATTATT